TCTATGTGACTTGAGAAATCTGAATTGGCACCTGGTTGAAGCTGCTTTGAATATTGACAAAGCCGACGTAGTCAGCAAAAATTTGTTAGTCGAAGTAATAAATAAACATATGCCCATTAGACAGAAAATTGTAATTAACAAATGTTCACCATGGATTTAACTTTATGTAACTTCCCCGATAGGTCAACGTGATAAGTTAAAGAATAAAGCCCTCAAAATATCCATGAGAACTTTCTCGCGAACAAAAAAAACTGAAAGATACATGTACATGAGATCAAATCCGATGGTCAAGTTAAGTCGATACATGAGTCCCCTTTGTTTAGGAACTCATTCTCATTATTTTGCCAAGACCTTTGGAGAGGACTTTAAAAGCCGTCAGTTACTGGATGCTTACACATGAACAAACCCGCGCTATTTCAGCAGTCAAGTAAAAACAAAACATCAAACCACGTACGTTATTAAATAGTTGAATATTACTGATTAATAAGATTGCAGAGCGCCATTTATATATAACACTTTTTAAAAAGTTGCGTTTCATACAGGTGGCGCTCTAGTACCTTTAAATATATAGCGAAATTTATTAGGAGAGTTTGGCGTATGTCCAGTTCCTTGGTATGGCCGACCCGGTTCGATCGAGTTGGTTACAATATTTGACGACTACTGCTTTGCTTAACAAGCTCAAAACATGGCTCTATTTAAATATGATCTATTGAGCTCACACGTAATTTCTCCAGTCGATATGCATGCTAGTGAGGCGGGGGTATGATTTTAATGAAAAATGCATTAATATACAATTCGTCCTTGTTTTCACGAAGTGACGGTAGCGGGGAAAATCGTAACGCAAAGTGAATGCAATTTTTTTTCACTACCGTCACTTCGTGAAAACAGCGACGAATTGTTTAACTGTCATTGGTAAACGTTAAACAAAAAAAACAAAAAAAAAATGATTGCGAAAGACTTTTGGTTTTTATTTTAATTTATGGTGATTGCCAATCAAGATCATCGAATCGTTATATAAGATGTTTAATTGATCGTAAACCTTTGTGTTACAGGGCCATGATTACTTGTGCCAGTCTCTCATGCTACGCGTTACTTATCCATGTATGTCGTATATCTGTAACACCCATAAATGGATTTTATTTATTTATTTATTTATTCAAGTCTTCTTTATACAGGGTGGCCCTTTCAATAACGAGTATTGCTCTTCCAATGGACGCCTTCAGACCATTATCAAGCTTTGAGGTGCTCCTTTTAATGAGAAAAATTAATATAATATGATATCTCCCATACGTCCAATGTAATGAAATCCGCCCAAAACATGACTAAATGGACTAAAGAGATCTTGATAGAATCAGTCCTGCATGCAGCACAGTTTGAACTATGAAATAAACTAATAAATTAATCCACGTATGTACTACTAGTGCAAAACTATGTGAGATAATACAGTTCTATTAACACAAATGTTTGGAACATAAATAGGTTTTGACCGCTTTATCAAAGTATAGGCCTACTCGATACTCCAATATTACACTTTTGCATGTGAAAAATAAAATTAATGTTATTATTTCCTACAGATAGCTTTGAATTTAAAATAGATAGGGGGCGAGAAAAAAAACAATATCAGTAAAACCCCCACAACATGGTCCAAACGATGTTAAGCTGAAAACGATCAATTGGCTGATTTCAACAATTACAGAAAACGTAGATAAATCAATTAATTAAAGAAACAGATTTAATTTTGGTAGAGTCGTCAAATAACATTACGTTCAAAAGGTAATAATTGAAGTACTGTAACATGATTTAATTAATAGAATTAAGAACAAAGACAAAAGAGTAGTATGTTTACTGCATGAATAACATCAATAATCAACGTGGACAGAGGAATAGCCACAGACACTACCAATTTGTTTGAACTGATTTACACTTATATTTTTGATATTGAATTTTGAGGGTTAACATAATCGCATAAAAAGATGGCTGAAGCTGTTGATCGCAAGGAGGGCAGCCTATATGACTAAACTTGTTGACGGTCTGGTCAGCTCTTTACTATATTAGACTCATTGTCAGTTGTTCTTGTCTTTCTTAAAGACACGTCAGATCTAACAGTTCCAGACTATTCTCCTTGATTTCTTCTTTATTATCGGCATCTGGTTCCATTCTTCCTTCGTTTAGCCCGGGGTGACGGACGTGAGCACAAAGAAAAGAGACAAAGATAAGTTTTCGATCCTACCCCCGTGCCCGCCCCCCCCCCCACAACTTCGACGTACATGTCCTTGTAGCACAAATGGTTTCGTAAAAAGAACATAATCGAAGCAATTGGATGGGCAAGAATGATAACACGAAGTAACCTTTGAGTTGACGGTCGGATCAATACGATGTTCATTAAAGGCACTCCCATCCTCCCATACTTGTTTTCAATAAAGTAATATATGCATATAGGACATTCTGAAAATATTTCAAAAACAGTTCAACATTTATTCCCATCTTCCTCAGATATTGGAGGTTGATGCCACATTACTAAATTTGTATTCCATTCCAATTCCATAGACATTTATTTCCTTCCTTTTTTTTAAAATTCAAACTGAGCATGATATGTAAAGAAGAGGCTTGTTGTGGGGTCACCATTACAAAACAGTTAAACATATTAAGTACATACTTAAATAATGATTATTATCTACATAAAATACCTATACAATGTAACTAAAAGATGAGAGAGAGAATAAGGAAGAAAATATATGAAGGGTTGGTACCTTACAATTTGTTAAATTACCAAAACCAGATCGCTTTTGTTAGCTACTCATTTTTTGTTATCAATGTGCACTACTATTTTAAGTTCTTTATAAAAAGAAGAAGGAGAAGCTCAAAGTTTGAATTACTTACATAATAAGCATGATAAAAACCAATTATATCAATACACAGTTTATTGACTTTTTAAAATAATACGCACAATTAGTTATAAGTGATTTAGACAGAGTGTGGTATTCACATCCATCGCTCATTGATATTTGAAGATAGAGAACTTCATGCTGTGTCACTAAATTTAACACCAGTAGAGAGCGGATAGACCCTAGTAATAATTATAAATGCAAATCAGATAAATCAATATCTAGTTAAACAAATATATGCACAATTATTTTTACAGTAATTTAGACAGAGAGTGCATGCTCATATCCATTAACCTCAATTTTTAGGACATTGCTGCATTTTTTTCTTTTCACAATATAGAGAGTATATAGTATAGAGCGATTTGACCCTATACTTATTAACATACTATAATAACATGATATACTAAAGGCCTTACAGTTAATAGATTTGTTAACAAGATATTATCCTAACTGGAAAGCGCATACTCATATTCATCTCCCACCGTTATTTGATTGATATGTTGGTGTTGAGTCACTACTGATTGGTTCTCATACGAACTGTCTCCGACCTTTGACACAGGATCAGTTGCCATGGTTTCATATGTTGGTGTCGTGTCAGTGGGCACTAGATCCATATACGGCTTCTGTGGTTTCTCCAGTTTCATTTTCGAAACACTGATCCTATAAAAATAATAATGTACACAAGAGAAAACAAGTGACATATCTGATTATGTTCAATCCATCAATCATATCTATGTATATGTTTTAATACCTACTTTTCTACGACTTCTAGTAATTGGAAATAATTCTTGAAGAATATTGAAAGCGTTCAAATTTGAGATGTTTCAACGTAATATGTTGATAACTCGAATGACTTTTTTCGATATCTGGACCCCAGATCCCAGTCCCGTTGCTTTATGAAAATACAGGTACCGCTAGAATATAGATATGTTTATATCTGTCTATTAAGTTATCGATGTTGTTAGAGAAACAAACTATTTATTATGACTATATATTTATTTCAGCATTGAAATAGGTGTAAATTGTGAATAACTGATGCTGATATAATTGAAATAGTTATAACCATCCTTTAATGACATTCGTTATCACAGAAACATATATAATCGACGCATTTACGTCAATTTTTTCAAATATTTCTAATTTCAGCGCGGATGTATACCTAAGTTTGATGTACAGGAAGGTAATCACAACTCCAAAAACAAGAAGCAGCAGTGCCACAACTCCGACCCCGATCGCCAGCTCTGTACATGAAGAATAAAGAGATTACTAAAAATAGATAACTCGCTTAAACTATTCATATCATGTGTTAAATGAAAATTTACAGTTTGTAACACAATGCTTTCCTATATGTTTACGTAATGCGAGAGGAAATGAGAGAATAGAAGTTGCGAAGCCTAAAAGAAAGTTTCACAATGCTATAAACATCTTCAGGTGTAGTTGTAATACACAGGGATTTTTAAAGCTTCACAAAGAAAGGATCCCTAGACAAAAGACAATATTGCCATGTGCACTTCATCAATTTATGAATTAAGAAGACCTCCATTATACCTTTGTAAGATTCACTGAACTTATCAGGAGAGGGTAATGGGCTTTGGACTGTTGTCTGGAATGATTGAACACTATGCGATGATGTAACGATAGAGGATGACATAGCAATATGTGGTGATGTAGCAAGAGAGGAAGACTTCGTCATTCTTGAAGAATGTGGTGTTGACACTGATCCAGTAGTTGTCTCTGCGGGGAAAAAACACTTAATTAAGGATGATTAAAATATGGTAAACGCTATCCTCATTCACGTATGATATCAAATAATGTATAGGCCTATATGGGTGAGCCCCAAATATGTATGTGTAAACATCTCCTAGCGGTGCATTTAAGTTGTTGGCTTGCCTCTTTATTATTAATTTGCTTTAATTGCATTAATTTATTTTGATTCGAAATATAAGAAGAGCTTAATTTCAAACGGCGCTAAATCCACTTGAAAGTCAAAACCAATAATAAAAAAATTAATTTCATTAAATATCATCATACTTGATTATTCAGAATCATTTGTTTATGTGTCCTAATTAAATTATACTAAGGGTGTGTTTCCATGACATCATACTTACTAGGTAGATGGTGGTAGAGATAGAGATCATCAACACCCACATCACTCAATGTTGAACTTCTAGTTGACGTGAAAGTAATCTATGAATGTATATATTGCTTGTATTAAAATAGATTCAACAATGATTTCAGATTGCAAGCTTACCAAAATATATGTGCGATTAAACAATGTAAAACATGGCATTTTTGACATTGGCAAAAATGCTCTTATTATTTACGAGATTTGTGAATAAAACAACGGATGCTACATGGCTTATAATTATTATTACACGTAAAATAGTCATTTCTTTTTTAAACTTTGTTTTCTAGGATTTAAAACTAATTAGAAAAGTGATTATAGAAGTTGCCGTGTATAGACGTTAATTCGTTAGATTTAGGGTTTAAATAAAAGCCGGTACAATTGTCTTTTGGCAAGACATTAATCCCTCTTCCAACTCCAACCTGGCAATTGCTGGGGTAATAATAATTGAAGGCCCTCAGGAATAACACCACCACTGATAAGGCTTTCATACGCCTGGATGGTTTTAAAATAATTAAGTGGTCGGTGTCGTTGTTGCGGATATTCAAAGATATAGTAGGTCCATATTTAGACCCACTCGAGACGGCCGAGACTGAACTTACCTGAACTGGATTATCTCCACATGACACTGTGGTGTTCTGTTCATGCCATTCGTTTCCTTGATCTCCAGAAAGGATGAGAACTGTCTCTCCATCCTGACACACACTGACCTCGAGTTTTCCATCCTAGATTTCACACAGTAGAATATTGTGTATTACTGCAATTTGGTCAATATGAAGCACAATATACAATACAAAATTACAAACAAAAACACATAGAAAGAGACAAAAAGTTAAACCTTCTGTGCATACGTGTGTATACTTACCCCATATAAGTGATACCAGAATGTCAGCCACCCTTCATCACCTGTCAGATTGAATGGAGGGGTTGCTATGGTAGCCTTTTGACCTCCACCTCCACCAATACCATCTGTGTCTGTCCATAAGAATCTTCCTGCCGATAATGAAGAGTGACACAAATACTTCCTAATGTTACATCATTTCTATATATTTATTCATATTTTGATTTGTTGAAATTATACTTTTTTGTGTCATGAAGGGTCCCAACGGAAACCAGTATTTTTGTTGCTGATTGGGCTACCCGTCTTTTTAAAGATGTGTAATAACTAAATTATTTTTTAAAAACTTCACGAACGGCCAACACATCGTTCGGTTGGCAGTCAGTATGGAGTTGCTGTGGTAGTGTGACTGAAGTGTGATGAGTTTGATGTGAGCGCAATTAGATTGATATACATTCATGTATGAAAGTTCTGAATATTTAGCTTTGTTTTTTTAATATTTATTTTGATTGACTTGATTTTTTCTAATAAACCTCCATAAAACAGATCAGTGTCCTTGTCTAACACATAATTTTTCTGCCATGGTCTCTTCAAATTGCTTGAGCTGGCTGGCATAAGAGAAAAATGAATATAAGACCTATCCCTCTTACATTGCTTGAGCTGTGTGATACCGTGAAGGTCCTGTACCTGCTTTCCCAGAAGAAGCCTTATACAATGTAGTATACATGATGATTGTTTTGATTTGTGAGCCTTACTAGAGCTTTGACATTACCAAAATAATAGGGCAAATACGGTTAAATGATACGTCTAATGCCAATGTTTAGTCATATTACCGTATAAACCTAGCCTAACGAAAGCAGGCATGGCACATGAAATTATCAAGTGCTTTGAATTTTTCGATACTGAGCTTTTAAAATCCAAAAAAAAATATTGTTTTAGCTGTCTTCGTTTATTTCACTGAGTGCATCAAGACCCACACGCTCCCATTGAAAATGATTTAAATGTTTTGAACCATCGATATTACCTCCCCCTCCTGGTTTGCCTGTGTGATCCTGTGAAGGTCCAGTGTCTGCTTTCCCAGAAGTTGAGGTTAGCTTCCAGTCAAAGTCATCGTCTACACCTTGCACCATGCCACAGAACGTCTCACTCGTACTTGTGCCGAAGTCACAAGAAAATAACACTGTATAATGATTGACAACAACAGAATGATTTCCTTTCATTATGATTAGGCTCACTATATAAAATAGGTATTCAAATGACAAATTTAAATAAAATGGTAGTTTACTAGCTCATCAAAATTCAAAATTCAGTTCATCATCCCCATATAAAAACGGTCTAGCGATTATCTTTATTATAGTCTTTGCGGCATATTATAGGTATCTTCTGGCCAGCATCGGCAATATGCTGAAAAATACTACTACAAATATTGAATACCCGACGTCACAGGAAGAGTATAAACCTATTTTAAATTAAATAATAACGAGACGTAAGGTCAGTAACCTATCAAGTTTAGTCTTCCCTTCATCCATAATCTACTCTATATCAGCTTTAAAGGGTTCGATGTGATATTGGAAGCATCAGTTGAAGTGACTTGGTAACATTGTTGAAGATTGATGAAAAAATTGCTTTATTTTTGTATAAAATGTTACTAACTATATTCCTTCTATTGTACTAACCCTCTGACATGCAACAAATCCTGAAAAAATTCTCAAACCACGAAGATATCTATATGGTTTTCTTTGAAGGAGTCGATGTATGACACCCTCTAACAGTGATTAACAGTAAATTCTCCAAGCCATTTTTGAATTTTCCCAACCGTTTTTGCATGAAAAATTTTTTAAAAAATCTGTCAACACTGAAATGTCTGGAATGAAATGTAGAGCCATTTTATTGCTTTGTGATGATATCCATTTACCTAAAATGTAAATAAATAATTGTAAAAATAAAGTTGGGAGAATTAAGGAATCGATCAGAGTTTTCTCAACTTGTACCATAAATAATCGGTCCGTTTTCACTCAAATTTTCAGATTATCTTTAATTGTACATCTAGCATTGAAGTCACTACCTTAGCACCACTATCTCTCATCTGAACAATGTTACCAAGTCCCTTTAATCGCCCACTAATTGCTCCATCATGAACATGCCACAGAGACGTCTTTTGACGACATGGTAAAACTTTCTTGCTAAAGAATGTTATGGGGTTATTGTATACACAATCCAGTTATTTCTATATATGCATAATAACAGCAGGTTCTGATATCTTTCACAGAACCATTATGCAGACCAATATATAATCTGAAGTGATGGGAAAACTACTTACGGTTTTCAGTGACACCAAAAGAAGGTGGAGTGACCAGTACACATAGCAGGAGAAGAATTATGAATGACGCCATGACAACATCAGAAATGATTCAATAACAAGGTTCGACCTATCACTCCGATCCGACAAATGCATGAAATCCCTAAAATGCAAAATGTTACCATACAATACAATTGCATGCATGGTATTGTCGCTTTACATTATTGTGTATGCTTGTGCGAGGCTAAAACTGTCTGTTGAAGAAAAAAAATGTTTTCTTCTGTCTGCCATTGACGTTTATTTGTAAGCATTGTGGACCTATAGTTCACGAAGCGTTGAAGAATCAAAGAAAGGTTATTTACCCTGTGCCACTCACGGGAGTAATGAGCAAAGCTAGTGTAGGGTTGCGGTTCTAACAAATTCCTAGCACTCTTAAGTACACAGAGGCAGCCCAGCAGACATGTTGTACGATTGATAACTCCTGGCTAACTGACCAGGTTTTAATGTAGCAAAGCATTACAGCATTCTATGTAGCATTCCACATACATTCCATGCAAAATAGAAGAAACCAATAAATATTCATTTAGTCCCATACAAGTATAAATCAGCATCACCAAGTATTCTTGAATATTCAAACATAAACAAAGGGTATACATTGAATATTCATGGTATATGTAAATTATACTATAAGCTTGACTGCATCAGGTGAACATTGAAACCAATGAGAGAGAGAGAGAGAGAGAGAGATAGACAGATGAAAGGATGGTGGATGAAAAGGGTGAATGTAAATGAGGGATGACCTATTAATATGAAAGGGATGAATCATGGATATGAGGGGGAGTTTCAGAAGTTCAAAATAAATCCCTACAAACTAGTCTTCCCCTTACAAATAAAATGTCCTCATTTTATAAGGCATTGTCCTTTCTTTGATTACCGAAACATCTAACACATTAAACATTTTTTTAAATGATATTTTCTATCCTTTCCTCTTGTAAACAGAGAATCACTATCAATATATCCTTTTGTTTTCCTTTAAAAGAAAAACTAAACCTTACTACCTGTAAGCATATATATATACAATTGTACAAAACAAATGAATTTTACTCGTATATAAATGACCTATGACTCAAATGTACAGAGTATTAGCTTAATATACATGTATAAGCTGAAAAGAAAAACAAAAATCTGCAAAAACCACATGATTTTATATATATCTGAGCTTTCCCGCTTCCAATCTGTTTCACTTTTATCTCGGGGAAACACTTCCCAATTCCAATGGTAAAACAGAAACAACTATAAATACAGTGTATCTGCCTTTCTAAAAAAAACAATTGACTCAAAAAGTTGTAACAATCCTAACAAAATACTTTTTGTTCAAACGCCGTTTCCTTTGTTTCTAAAGCCAAATACAGTTCCAAATTTGTTACGCTCTCATTATTTTGAGCAATTGGTAAGGAAATGAAATCATCTATAGCTGAATAATTCTTTCAACCAATTATTACTTTCTTTTTTTTTTTTACCTTCTAGAAATGCGAAATGCTATCACTTGAAAATTTGAGATCTTCCAGAATCTATCCATTACATGAATACAAATACATAACATTCATATTCCTATCATCATAATAACCAGACATAAGTGATTATATCACATTATCATAATATAAAACATAAGTCATTTCAGAAAAATAGTTTTCAACAGTATCCTTGCTTTTGGTTAAGCAAAATGGCCCCTCAAAATATAAAACATTTCCAACTGAGATTGAGCCAGCGCCTGCTTTGTCACTTGTAGCTAGCAAAGATTAAATCCACAAAAAAAAACATTATCAGTTCAAACATCTCGTACCCTTCAATGACATCATACCTCTGAATAATACATAATGCATGAGAAGTGGTCACATTCAAATGTAACAATTTTCTTTTCTTTTTGTCAAAAATATTTGGATCGCCCAAACAAAATACAAACATATCCTCACACGAAGACTATAATCAATCACATTTTTTCTGTCCGTCTTCTTTTTTTCTTTTTTTAAACAACTACCAAAACAATGATATCTCTCTCTTGACAATCAACAACTGTCCATTTACTTTGTCAAGACGCATGCAAAATTAAGAAAATCCATATTTTTCCTTGGTTTTGTCTTTACTTCAAGAATTTCAAACGCTATGAATACAAACAAAGAAAATCCAATCTAGTATAACCATCACTAGACATCAATTGAAGAAATTTGTAAAAATGTATCTTGCAATATATGAACACCAACAAATATACCGATATATTCTAGATATTTCACCAAATGCCTAACAATGGTCCATGTGCTTTGTATGAATCATTAATAATACACACACAAATATAACTCAAATTTAGAAGGTCTGTAATTAAACAAAAATTCGCGAGAAATGCAGAAGGAATTACAGTCCATTCCAATTCTTATTCGTCTAACGCCCGAAAATCTTAGTCCATAATTCTGATGTTCTGACCCGTACAGAACTCATGGAATTCACAGTCCATTCAATATCAAAATCGCTCAAAATTGTTGCTGAGTCCATATAGAGTCAAATATATTGAACAGTCCAGTTTAGCACTTAAAGTTCAAATGAGTTCGAATGCCTCTGTCATTCATGATCACAGTCCAATCAATATTGTAATTTTCCATAACCGAAAGTTGACAGTTTAAACGTTCTTTTCTTCGGACGGAAATGTCGACGTCAGACTAATAAAATGTTTAATACCTCTCCATAACGGAAAATAGTCACATTTGGTAATCGCTATACTTCTGCGGTTTGTGGACGCGTCTACCAGAGCGAGTTTGAGGTAACTGCGTCCTGGTGTCCTCTTGCGTCGTGGG